AGTCTGATATTATGGATGAATTCTATAATAAATGTGGTATTTGAGGAAACAGCTCTTGAGTAAAACCACAGTGAAGAAGATAGTGCTGAAGCAAGAGCTAATTAGAAATCAACCACACCCACTTTGGACTGAAGTGATCCAAGGTTTCAGAAATGGCATCTTATTTACTGATCTTCACTAAAAAAAAAAAAATCAATTTTCTTGAGAACAAAAATGTATATCTGGATCAGATTTTTCTCTTCCCTTTTTCCCTTCAACTCTCCAGAGAATATGGGCAGGCTGAGTTGCTCCTCTAATTCAATTAGCTTACCTTTGTGGGATGAAGAAGTTGTCTGCAAGTGTATGGAAAGCAAGAAAACTCTTCATCTGGCTAAAGGAAAATATTCAATACTTTTTTTAAACAGTCTGCAAGAAAACAGCAGCAAAACCAGCTTGCTGAGAAAGGTGGATGGATATCTTTGGGCCTTTTACCTTAATTCACTCACAGAAAGTCTTCATTTTTAAAAACTGACCTGGCTACTCTCTATCAGGAGATGCTGATTGTGGACAGATAAGCTGGACAGATAAGCACAAAGGACTCTTTACTTGTATGTTGTGTGCTTCTCCACTTTCTTTCAGAAACAGAAAATCCAAGAAGCAGTGAATCCAAAAGGCAGAGAGGAGAGTGGAAATAGAGGCTTAACAAACAATGAAAAGCAGCTCATAGTTTACACGATGAGTTTACAGCAGGAAGAAGGAGATTCCACTCAGTCTGTGCTGTGCTAGCTGGTTAACAAATGTTCCTCAGTCTTTAAAACAAACAAAATTATGTCTGTGAGTGCAAATTCCATCAACTGTTTGATGAGCTTTCCACTTTGCTTAGAGATAAAGGTTGTGGGAAAGGGTCCACTGAAGCTGCATCCAGTCTAAGTGCCTCCAGCACAGTTGTCTTATTTCTTTCCCATTATTTTTTATTTTGTTTTCATCTAGTATATGAGAGAATGCTGTTCAGGTGGTGTTTAATTTAATTACTGCCAAGTATTCAGGTTCCATACCTGTAGTTTACCAGTCTGCCTGTTTTTGCTGAAGCTTAATGGTTGCATAATTTTGAGGAGGTTGCTGTATGTGTTTCCAGTGGAAGCAGTTTCTTGTCCTACTGTAAAATTTAATTAACTGAAGTTCTGTGAACCATTAAAAGATATGCTGCAAAATGCAGTTGCAAAGAATAGATGTATATATTTTAATCCCTTCTTCAAATATTGGTACATAAGCATGATGACATCAGAACTGTACTGAAGACCTGCTTGGTGTCCTATGCCTTGCTTGACTCTCTTCTGAACGTCTTTCATCTATAAATTTTTTAATTTTTTCTGCAAAGACATCAAAACCACAGGGATGTGTCTAATGGAAGGGAAAGTGCCTTGCTTGTAGCAGCTTCTTGTAGAGGAGGAAGAACTGTAACTGTGCCATGTTATTCAGGCTTTGTCCTCATGGTTATGGATCTGTGCATCAATGTGTTCTGTACAACTGCGAGACTGGAGCTAACAAAGCTTCCTAGGAAGGCTTGACAACCCCCTTTGACATGTGGGTGGTGTGGCCAGGGGTAGGCCAGACCCCAGAATGTGGGCTGTTGTTTAGAAGTCTGAACAATGCTCTGAGACACAGAGACTAACACAGGATTTAATGTTAGTCTGTCCTGTGAGGAGCAGGGAGTTGGACTCGGTGATCCTTATGGGTCCCTTCCAACTTGAGATATTCTATGGTTTCATGTAACTCCTGGGTCAGGAATGTACTTGGGCATTCCTTTTGGAGGGAGGTATTGGAACAGCTGGATTGGTTATGTGTGTAGAGGACCCTTAGTGAGTCAGGTCCAGAGCAGGTTTGCACACTGATAGGCAGTGAACGGAATGCTGGGGTGCTGTTGTTGTGTGAGCTGTGGTTTTGTTGCACACATTTGTGTGCTCTCTACCTCGTGCCTGTCCTGCCCAAGAATTGCTTTTTGTGTGTGTCTGGTGGCTGTGTGCATTACAGTTCTTCTGCCACTTCCTCTGCCATGCAGAAAGTGTCCCGATGAACTTTATTCCTCTTCTACTGCATAATCATGTAAGATTTATGTGACTTTTTAAATTAGAATTTTTAAAATTATTAATCATTGTATCTACATGAAAATAGCTAAGTCAATAGGAGATGTTTGTCGACACTTATCTCTTTTTGTTCCATTACTGATACTTCTGGTAGGATCTGTTGCATGTAATATCTGCAGCAATTTCTAAAGCCTTTTTTCATCTAACTAAACATTTATCCTCAAGTTTCTCAGCATACCTGTCTTTGCTGCTAATGCCATCTCACTTGTTGAAACAAGCTCAGTGATCAAAGTTAATGAACCATCTTGGTAGGGATTGGAAGCTAGAAATAGACTGAAGAACGAGGAAGACCTTTTCTATGCCCAGGAAATATCTCAGCAGAACGGGCTCATGGAGAGGGAGCTTTGGACAAAAGTCGTGATGGTTTTCATCCGTTATACAAATCTCAAATGAACTGTCACCTATTTCCTTTGCTCATGGTGCTTTCACTTTTGTGGGCAGCCTCTCTTTTTGCTAGAGCAAAGTAGCTTTGTCTTATTCCTTGTGTAGGTGCTCCTAGATTGTGGCCTCTACAAACATGCTATGAATTTGTCCTGCTTTAGCTGGTTCTAATTGCTGGTGATTTATGAGAGAGATGTTGTGAAACAACATAAAATTAAATTTTCTTCTCCATTAATTCAGATGTTCTAAGTGTTTGGGCTTACTCCTGTGATTTCCCCTCCCTCACAATTTACTTTGAAAACAAAATCTCTACTGAGTTGACCTATCGTAGCCTTTAATGTTTCCTTCTCCTTTATCTTCTATGTAAATTGAAAAATTGTTTAATTTAGAAAATAGGGGAAAAGATGTACTAAATAACAATTGTGTAACAGATAGGTGTACAAAATATCAGCAGCCTTTAACAGATGAAATGAGAAAAAAACTCACTCTAAACTCTCTGATAATTTGAAGTAGCTGCAATACTACAACCAGTCCTGCAAAACACTCACGTGAATAACCCTTACTGTGGCAAGTAGTCCAATTGTTCCCAGCACTGGTGAAAGGCAGTGGTCTGGCAGCTTTGAGGAATGAAGTTCTTTTCTTTATTAGCTGGGCAAGTTTCCCAACACACATTGCCTGGTTAGCCTGCTAAAACCCCCATCTGAGGAGGGAGGGATAAGCTTTCTCTTGGGCTAACAGGCAGCTTGGTTTCTACAGATCACATAATTCTTACTTGTGTTTGGAGGCTGCCAATTAGCAAAAAGTAAAGGGAGGGACTTTGCAGGAAATTGCAGCTCTAATCCACCAAACTCGCATCAGAGAAGGACCACCTTGCTGCCCTCTGCAGCTTCTGGAGTGACCATGCCCAAAGCCTGTGCCAGTGTGTGTTCCAGGGATGCTCACAGTCTCCATCAGAGTCGTGGGGACCTGTGTTCCTGCTTCCCTCCTCACTTCCACTCGCTCTCCTTCTCAGGCTGCTCTCTAGGAACAGCTTCCATCCAGCCTGAGACCCTTTGACTTGATGCTGGTGAAAAACCTTGGTAGCGTTTTGTGTCCTGTGTGCTCCCAGGCCTGCCCTAACCCAGTACTTAATCACAAAGAACAAGACCTTGTTTTACTCAGTGAGCAAGGTCTGTCAGCCCAGCTCTGACCATCTCAAGTTTATTTATGCTCTGAAAGTGAATGAAGAATAATTTTTTAATGTTACTGTCTTCTGCAAACGTGGCCCATTCCTCTCAGATGGAAATATACAAGAGATAATCAAAACTGTTGTGCTGCTTGTTTTCCAGACACAGGTAATTGGAACTTCAGGACTTCCAAATCAACTGACCCAAGGTTCTACCCTTCCACCAAAAGAAATATCAGCAGTGCAAGATGTAATCTAATTTGTGGACAGGATCGATCCAGGGGCAAGTAGGACTCATGGTACGTTTCACAGCTGTTTGAGCAGACACCATTTGTGGGAGAGCAGTGCAGTACTGGTGATTATACTGCAAAATGTGGAGCTGCCCAGGGTTTACCTAAAAGTTTCATCAGGTACCAGCACCATCAGTGTTGAAAGCTGTAGCAGCAGTCTTGGTTGGCAGAAGGTAGCACATCAGCTGCTTGGACATGATCAAGTGCCATTTGGAAAAAGCTTCAACCGCTTTCAGTAAAAATACCGTGATTTGGTCTACTCAGGATATGTTTCTAGTCAAGCAGTCAAAGCAGGCAGCTTCAGCACCTCCTGTGCAGGAGGCAGTAGGGCTGCATGAAACATGGCCTCTGTTGTACAGGAGCGATGTGTTCTCCAGGGTGTGTTTGTGGCAGCTGTTACTGGATTTTAACATCAGGCAGTGGACAAGGAATTGACCATTACAGAGACTGTGAACTGCACAAGGATGCTTGCAGAAGTCAGACCAGATCTGGAGGTTTTCTGGCACCTTGCTAGTCACCTTTTGTTCTATGTCAAAGCACACTTCATTGAGAGAGAGGTATTGTCTGAAACGTTGCCTTCTCCGGCTGCGTGGCTGTTAAACATGTGGGTCTCGAGGCGCTTAATACAGCTGGCATCTTCTGATGCGGCTTCAGCTGAAACAGTCATGGGGGAGGGAAGACAGCCCTGCGTGGAAGCTCTTCCCGCTGGTACCGGGGCTGCAGAGGGGAGCTCCTCGCGGGCCCGCCGGCCCTGCTGGCCGGGCCCACCATCGCGCCGAGCCGTCGGTGCCGGCCCGGGCGGAGGTCGGGCCGGCTCCCCGCCCGCCCCGGGCAATGGCAGCACCTTCTGCGGCCCCGGCCCCGCTCGGGGGCCGCAGGGACCGCGGGCCGCCGCCCCTCCGGCCCCGGCGCTGCCTCGCCGGGCGCGGGTCCCGCCGGCGGGCCGGGGCCGCGGCGCAGGGCGGCGGTGCCGGGCGTGGGGCGCGGGGCTGGCGGCGGAGCGCGGGGGGTGCGGGGGCGGGGGGGTGTGCAGCTCTCGCTAGCGCTGCTTGTGGTCACAGCCAGGCAAGCTCACATCCCATCTGGATCACGCTCGCTCTCTCCCTTCTGCTTTCCTACCATAGAGTTGCGCTGGAAACAGAAGATAGAGGGAGTGTAGGAGCTCGCCATCTCCAAGCGATCTACATTGGGAAAAACATGGAGTCGGCTCCGGCAGCCCCCGATCCAGCAGCCAGTGAGCCGGGCAGCAGCGTCTCCGAGGCGGCCGCCGGCGCCAGGGACACCCCGGTGAACCTGGAGCCTGCCCGGAAAAGCGATGCGCCGGCTCCCGTCCGCAGGCAGAGCTACTCCAGCAGCAGCAGCAGCAGAGGTAGGGAGACTTGGGGAAGGGGGAGGGGGCCGGGGGAGTGGGATCGGGGGGTGGGTGGGAATAGGAAGAGGGGGGTAAGAGAGAAGGGGGAAATGCAGCAATTTAATCCCCTGGTTTATTGCTCGTGCTTGTTGAAGCCGCGCACGCAAACAAGCCGGGCTTCTACCCCCTGCAAAACCTTGCAAACTTTTATAGCTTCTTTTAATTGCTGCAGGAGGAGGGACAAATGCAATGAAAATATTGAGCGGTGTTTGGTGCTTTCCTATCCCTCTCGTTTATTGCCTGTGGTATCCGGATGGGTACTGTGCCCCTGAAATTACATAATTTTATAAATATATAAAGCAACAGCAGGAGTATTGGGATTCAAGGGAACAAACTTTTAAAGCTGCAGTGTCCTTCCTCCCCCCCCTTTTTTTCTCCCCCTCGTCTGTCTCCTTTTGACAGTTTCTCAACTGGTGTGCTATGGCTTGTTGTGAATGGGGGATCTGTGATTAAACAGGAGATTTGCGGTTTGCGGGTGACTTATTCACTCTGTTGCGCGCTGTTTTCCCTTAATTCATTTAAGCGTATCTTAAAAATTATTTCATCGCGGAGCGGATGATCTCGTAGCTGCTGTTGTTGAGGGTGCACAACTTCGCAGAGGGTCTCCGTGCGCCCGGGGATTCTCTTACCGCTCTCCGCCGGCCCCCGAATAAAACGCAGCAAACAAACGAGCCCCCCTTTCCTGCCGCCAGCTGTCAAAGCCCTCCTGCCTCAGGTTGCGCCTCGGGAGTCGTGCGGGTCGGCTCTGGAGGTGCTCGGGGCGGGTGAAGTTTGGCGTCAGCCGCGGCAGCGCCCGAGCCGCGCCGGCGGCGGGAGAGCTGCGCGCTGCCGGGCGGAGCGGTGCGGGGCCGTGCGGGGCCGTGCCGGGGCCGTGCCGGGCCGTGCCGAGCCGTGCGGGGCGGGCTGCTCCCGCCGCGGCCACGGACCGGGGCCCGGCTTCAAACGCCGCCGGAGTTTGCCGAGACGTGCGAGAGGGAGGAGGCTGCGGCTTTAATTACTTGTAAATAATTTATGAAGCGTTGCTCCTACAAGAGGGGGAGCGCGCTAGAGAGGCTTCGCTCTGTAAAATCCCTCGGCGATGGGTAAAAATGAATTAAATAACGCTATGTAATAATACACACGGCTGTTGAAAGAAATGACGGGCGGAGAAAAGTACGTGCCCGGCGGGAGCGCAGCCCCCTCGGCGGCCGCCGGCGGGGCTGGGGCAGCGATGCCCGGCCGCCGGCGGCGGCGAGACCGTCTCTCCTCGGACAGAGGGGGTTTGGGTTGTAGGTTGGAATATGGCTGATCATGTGTTGGCTTGTGTTTTACAGTATTTTTCCCCTTTTGGCCACACCCCCCCTTCCCAGGCAGCTTCCCACTCAGGGAATCCGCGTACAGTAAAAGCCATCGAGATGTCACACGCCGAAACATTTAATTAGAGGCGATTTGTGAGCAGGGAGCGCGCCGTTCGGCGGATGCCGAGGCGAGGAGGAGCGGGCTCGGCCGGAGGAGGCCGGGTGGCCACGGGCGTGTGCGCAGGGAGCGTTTGGCTGCGCGGGGTATATTTAGAGCTTGCGAGAGTGGATTTGGAATGCAAGCGCCTTATGTAACGAGGTTAATCAGAAACACTGGAGAAAATTTCCTTAATTTGTCGGGGAGTTTTCTGGATGTTTGCGGAGCCGGCCGTAGTTGGCGGGTGTTACACAACGCCCCCCCTCCCGGCTCTCCGGCCCAGCGCTCCGGCGGCGCGGGCAGATGGTGCTGCCGGGGCGCGGGGCCGGCGGCAGGGAGCCGGCAGCCGGCTGCGCCGCGTCTGGGGAGGGGGGCAACTTTGGGATCCCATCAATTATGTAACACTCGGCTGGCGCTTCTGTATGGATGCGAAAAGGAGAGGGGGGTGCTGGGAAGCCCGGGCGGCTCCGGCGGTGAGAGTGTTTTCTTGGCGGTCCCGAATTGTTTGGGCTCTGGTACTGCTAACCTGCTGACCCACATGTCCCTCCTCCCCCGGGCCTCGCTGGGGAAGGGGAAGGAGCAGGGGCCCGGCACTCCAGGCACACGCCGCCAGCCCGGGCTCCCGGCCGCCGCACGCAGGCAGGCACCGCGTTATGTAACAGGCTGAGTGGGAAAGCGAAGGTCAGTGATGGAGGCATCCCCGGCAACACAATGGCCAGAGCCCTGCGCGGGGCTGTGCGGGCTGTACAGCGAAATAAAGCTCGCGGCAGTCATTGGCGTGTGGCTTGGAAGGGCTTGGGAAGGGAGAGGGGAGAAGGAAAAGGAGAGTGGCAGGGATTTGGGAGGAAAAAAAAAGTGTTTGGGTTTTTTCGGATGATGTAATGGAGTTGGCAGAAAATACAAGTCTACTCCTAGAGTGCAAACAGTACGAGAATTGTAGCTGGCATTCTGTGCTAATGATGCATAAATTAGTGTATTGGAAGTAGATTGACCTATACAATACATGCCAGCTGATTGTGCCTTTTTAATAGTTAAAACCTGGAGGTACAGAACCACACAGGAAAACATGACAATGACAACACTGTGGCCTCCTTGAAGTCAGGACTTGATGGATGGATTAGGGGCTAGGGGTCCCTGTAGACGTGTAGGTTTGGGGTTTTAAAAAATCTTTTTAAGCTATTGAAATAGCACTTGATTTCTTGCCTTTTGTTTTTAATAGGGTCCTTTATATCTTATGGCAACAATGTGACCTTAATGTGTGACTAGTAGAGGTGAAATTATTTTTAGAACTGTTACCTTTTAAGCACATATGTTCAGCTGCGTATTGAGTTAAAAAAAATTTACTTGTTTGGGTCCCAAATCTGCCATGTGTTGTAAGCAGGCAGCTCTGGACTCTCATGTGAGCTTTGTGGAGGATAGATACAAATACATAGATATTTAAGTATATATACACATTTATACACCTCTCCAACTGTAGAAATCCTTATTTTTGACTTGGCAAACACTGAAAATATTTGTTTTATATCCTTAATTTTCATAGCTGCACACACTGCAAAGCTGCTTTGATACATCAGGGTTTATAATAATAGCCAGTGTACATAAGGAGTGAAGAAAACAAAATTAAAGAGAGCACTGTTGATGGAGAAGTGGGGAAAGTTTGCTGTGGAATAAATTCTTAAATGAAGCTTCAGTTATTATAATATTATCATTTCAAAATACTTTATTGCTTGATATGCAAACCTGTCTGTACCGCCAGATCCTTACATAACTTGGTTTTTATTTTGCAGAGGTTATGCTGGTTTAGTTGCTGTGTAGAATACGTAACTTGAAAACGTAATTCTGAGTTACCAAAGCACTTTTCAAATGGGGAATTGTTACTTGACATATTTAGGATATGGGGGAATGCATGCATACTTGCATGCTTCAAAAAATTCCTTGCAGTCTAATATTAAAACTGATTGTTAGGAAATTGTCACCATACTGGAAAAAGCAGGAAATGGATAAAAAGGCCTGGTTTTCCCCCAGAGGGATGCTTTTACTGCTGACAGTAGTTGTTAAAATTTTCTGAAGACCAGTCACTGACCAGCAGGTTGGATTTCATTCTCAGTGTGTGTGTGTGTGTGTGTTCTGCAACAAGGGTTTGTGGTTTGCCATGCTTGGTAGAAGGAATGCTTCCCTCGCCAGCTCTGGCCCTGGACTGTGGCTTTTATTGACATTTATTTCACTTTGCAGGTTTGGACGTCCATGGAGTTCTACCCATGCTGCAGTCTAAGGCTTAATATTCTATTAGTCCCCCTAGAAATAGTTGTAATTAAGTAAACTCTATTTTAGTAGAGAACTACTGTCTCATTAAAAAGCAAAGTACATTAAAAGCTTTTAAATCTGCTAGAAAATGCTTAGTTTGTATGGAACTGAGCTCTTGGTCTCAGAGGTAAGTCAAGAGAGGATGTCTTGCTGAAAAATATTTAAGACTGCTGTTACATCATTGGATGATGCTATGTGCAAATACTTTTATGATGCTTCATATTTAATAATTGAAAACTGCAGCTATATAGGTATTTGTTTTTCTTTTCTTTCTGTTGAGGTTCTGAGCGTATTTGCTGTTTTCCAGAACCCTTTGGATGTCGTCTGTTTATCCTGATCCTGTCTCTACTGGTAGATTGTGGCATTTTGCTTTTGTGCTTTTTAAAAAAATTTGGGTGATGCTCCACAAGTAGAGATGTAACATCATTAATAGTGACTACAATAGGTTTGTGGTGTTCTTTTCTTTATAAATACCTTTTTTCCCTTCTTTTTTATCCATTTATGTATTTAGACTATTCTACAGAGCTTAACCACAATACAAAATTTTGCAAGTTGTTTTCAGGAGGACTCTTTGAATTTTGTAAATTTGGATGCTTTCTGTAGATTCTTTGGGTTGCCTTTTTCATCACTGGGGACTATTCTGCATGCACCACTGATTTAGTCCTATTTTGGTAGATGATATGTGCTTTGAATCCTTTAAAGTACAGCATTGTTTTAAACGTTTGTAGCACAGGAGCAATAATAGCAGCAGTATGTTGTTCTCCCAGGAACAATGCAGTTCTCTTATTCCAATAAACCGTAACCTATTCTCTTATTTTATTTGCTTGAGAAACATCTCAGGAGCTCATAAACCAGTATGTAAATACTGTTATCATTCAACCAAATGCTGTAATTTTACTAAATAAAGAACATAGTTTGTAATGGAGATGAACGGGCTGTGTGACAATTTCAGTTTTGAGTATAGCACTGCATCTGAATGGAAAGAGCAATTTCAGCTTTGGGAGGTTGTTTTTATTTATTTATTTATTTATTTATTTTCCCTTCTCATACTTCTGATACAAAAATACTTGTTGGGAAAAACCTGAAACGACTCAGTCAATTTTGTTGAGTTTAATCTGAGAGCTGTCCCAGTGAAAAGGGGAAAAACTCAACCTTGTTTAAATGACTGTGATATGTGTATCTCTCTTGAAATTAATTTGTGAATAGGTAATCCATTCTTT